ACGCAAATTGACACAAAACGAACCCGTTCTGGAGGAAAAATTGATTGTCAACTTCATGAAACAAAGAATGGAAGTAAGAGATCTATTGAACCATGAATTCATCTGGCACTTTACTGTAAGCAATCGCAAGATAAAGGAACAAATAATTTTGAGATCAGGATTACCACTAGAGGAGGTAACTAAAATCCTGGCCATAACTGATGATGCGATTGGAATCGGCATAGAGAACTGGTATTATCTGATACAACAAAATACTTGTGACATTGGAAACCAAACTTTTATTGACAAACTCAAGATGGAACGCTGGACACTATATTCAGAACTATGGCGAACAATGAAGATTAGTTCGTCCTCTTTTAAAAATTTTATCTTTATCAAGTCTAAAGAACAATATGACTCTTGGAAAACCTCCTCTTTTACTTTTGAAATAGATAACTTCAAACTTTTATTTTCCCCCCAAGCAGGATATAAAATATGCTACAAATGTAATAACGGTTACATGGGCTTTCACCCTCAACAAAATTGTAAACCCATTATGAAGAAATGATTTTCAAGTACATTTTAATTTCAAAAATTAATTATTTTTTGATGATACAAATTAAAGATTCTCTTTTAAAACTTTAAAACATTTTGTGGAATTAAAATGACGGTCGGCATAAGAGTGAAGCTTGATTTGGAGTTAACTCTGTAAATAAAGTATTTCTAGATCAACAACGTTATAATATCTAAAATAGATTCACATCAAATTTTGAAGTAATCCTCAAAATAATGCTTACTCTGAGAAACTATCATACTCCTCACTCTGAGTGAAATCCGATTGGGGACTAACTCGGAACTGTACATGATGAGGCTTGTCTCTAACACAGTTTAATTTGAGATCGGGCTTATACTCGCTATACTCCTCTAACTGGTAAAAATGCATGGAACTTGGAGTAACAACCTTGAAAACTCTAGTATCAACGTTGTAAATCATTCCGTTATTTACTTCGAAAGCTCCTTGTTTGGTTTCCATATGAGTATAAGTGTGCCATCCATCCTCTTGATCGCCCTCCTCGTACTCATGGTAAAAATCATCGTATTCAACACCGTCTTTAGACTTGTAACAACAAAAGCACACAGAACTACTCAGTAGCTTATAGACATGGCGTTCTTTGGCAAAAGTCAAGTATACGGTGCTGGGAATAGCAATTTCATCCTCGCTTTTCTCGGCAGATACACTGAAACACAGAACCTTAGGCCGATTCATAAACGTAGCGGATTCAACCATTCTGACTTTACCAGCACATCTAATTTCATTGTAAACATGAGGTTGATAAAATCCCTGAGAGATAGCACAAATATCAGCTTGACTGATTACAGTTTGGAAATCCATTCCAGCAGGTACCATGATTACGGGTGAAGTAAATCTACTTTCATAGGGCCCTCCAACGCAATAGGAACAAAGAAATTTTACCTCCATAGAAAGCATTAAATCATCACAAAGCTCAGGAAGTTGAGAAACCAACTTACTGATAATATGACGATATGCATTGCCTTCGTCACCTCCAGGTCTACCGAACTGCTTGTCACAATAAGCGGTCATAATACTACATAATCCTTTGATCAGTCGGGAATCAAGTAGCAAATCACGGTCCGGCTTCTGAGCGCGATCTGGAAATTCTGGATCATCACGAAGCTCGGGGAAAAGTTTTTTCTGTAAATAAGGTACATTCACCAAAGACATTTCACCTTCACTGGCCACTTTATGAAAATCCTTAAACAAATCATAGAGGATCTTAACCCAAAAATATGGAGTCTCAGTAACAGGTCTTCCGGCATTTTTACCAGGCATTCGAATACAATTAACGTCAAGATTGGAGTTTTTACAATAAAACTGATAACCATCGAAGATACCCTTTAAGATGGGATAACTATACAATATCGGGAGAACAGCACTTATGAGATAGCAATGTCCTCTAACGTTGGGAAATCCGATAAGAAATGGTGGCTGCAAGAACAATAGAGTGACAGTTAATTTGGACCTAACTCTAATAACAAAATATGAACTTACCAAGATAAACTGTGGTTCGTCCTCGAATATATTCTCAGCCAAATGATGACAAGCATAGTCACTAGCACGACCAAGCTCACGACTAGCACCATAACCATCATGTCGTATGATCCCATTATGATGAATATAAACACGAACTAGGTAGTACTCGCCTTCAACATTCAAATCTTGATATACTCGGGTAAAATTGGTAAGCCAATATTTCTTAAAAGGTAAAAATGTTTGAATAAAAACATGAGTAAATCCGATCAGGGAAATGTCATTTTCATCATAACTGGTACAAGACAGAATCTTATCCTCTCCAAATATAACTCGTCTTAACTTATAATTGCCCTGTAAAACAAAATATGAAGAAATCTTAATAACATATGAAGAAGAAACAATTATGTGAAACTTACCCTTTCAAAATCGATAGACATTTTGTTGTAAATTTACAATATACTAACTTTTTAATCCACTCGAATCAATATTTTAATTAAAATATACATAACTAGCATTTAAAGCATAAATGATGTAATAGCCTAGAAGCTTGTATAGCTTAATGAATCTTTTGAAAAACAGCGCTACATGTAGCCATGGCAATTAACCATGTGCTTTCTTAAGAGAAACAAATATAACGCAAAGTAAACATCTTCCGGACTTTCCTTTTAACTAAATAAAACTTTGTTCAACTTTTCAACAAACCAGTTTTCTGATTAAGTGTTCCAATAAGATCTGAGTCTGTTTATATACATGACAACTCATTGAGTTAGAACCAAATTGTTTGTCACTCGAGTCATCATGTATTTGTACACGATCAATACTCATAAAAGGGAAATACCTACAACAAGAGCTATTGATTTGGTGAAGACCAGGAAACGTTTATGTATGTGTATTTGTGAACCAAATGAAAAGACTAGTATACGTACAGATGTGAATATTGTATCCAATGACAAAGTATTACTGGCTATCTCTCCAGACATTACAAACCAACAAATCAACGTCAAGACAAGCGATCTGGTAATCCTACGTTTAATTGAATATAATCTGATATTTCAGCAATCTACATCCGAAACTTTTCAATAAAAGACAGAACCTTGCAAGATGAACAACTACAAGAATTACATCGAGTCCTTTCAGTATACAAAACACACAAATGGATCATCATGGGAGACATGAATGCGACACACGCTAACTGGTCAACGGTCACCGGGTCATGTTATAATTGTGTTACAGGACATCTCATTAATGCATTGGTAGAAAGTCATAATTTAAAGATCTTCAATATAGACAAAACACCAACGTATTACGCGAGCGGAAAAACAATTGACCTAATCATTGGCAGCTCTTCTATAATGGTGAATTGGACACGAACCATCAATTTTGCTCTCACAGACCACGCAGCGGTCGCATCTTTCATAAAAATCCAAAGACATAGAAATACATTGGGAGGCAGATTCCTAAGAATATCTTCATGGAAACTCAAAATAGAGCCAGACACACCATCCTCAAACCAAGAACTCACACTTTTTAAAGACAACAACCTTATTAGAAATTGTAACTCAATTATACATTTCCCTGACAACCATGGACGTTGGGCAAGAAGGAAAAAAGAGGATAAGAAAAAACGGAATTATAAAAGGTCAAGTAATAGTCTCTTTCACAGACTAAAGAATGCTAAAGATAGCAAACTAAAATGGAAATTGATCAATGACTACATTCTGAACAATAAAAGGGTTAATATTTGGACAAACCAGGAGACTATCAAGTCTAGAGACAAATTTCTTGTCGACTTCACTCCAGTAAATCCTACCTACTCAGATCAACCTTCTTACATTAAAGGGGAACTGACGAAACAAGAAATACTACAAATACTTAAAATGGGGCAATGGAAATCAAGTCTGTCGGCTGATAATTTTACCGTCAACTCATGGACACGTTTCTTTGCTATGAATAAGAGATTAATCATCAAAATAATAAACGACATGTTTAAAATCTCTCATATACCGCAAATGGTTCTCACATTAGGCTGTGGTTTTGTCATAAAGGCTGACAACATCAATGTTAGGATGGTTAAAACGCCGAATTATCTCATGAAAATAATTGATCAAGTACTCAAGCAAAGGATCCTAAACAATATCGATCAAATGGTAGACAGAAATCTTCAATTTGCATACTTGAATGATTGCAATCGCATGGATATGGTTGGTACAATAATTCAACACTGGCCTGAACACAAGAAAAGTACTCTGTTTAAATTGGATATATCTAAAGCTTTTGATACTGTTAATGCTGGTGTAGCTCTGAAAAAGATTCAAAAATACTGCGATATATCAACTTTCTACTTACTTGTATCCGTTATGTCAGAAAGATGGTTAAAGATTAATAAGGAAAGACAAAACTGGTACTGTAAAGAAAACCAAGGGGTTCCACAAGGTACGGCAATAGGTCCACTCTTATTTATTATAGCATTAGATGAACCACTGCGTCAAATCTCACAGAAAGGCATTTTTATTAAATCATATGCCGATGACATTGTCATAATAACAAGAAAACCGCCACAAGAGATCCTCTCACTTGCCAGCGAAGTAATGCAAACTATCAATTTGAAGTTAAATCATGAGAAAACAGAAACATATAGTTACAACAGCCTTGGTAAAGGAGAAGTGGAGATTTTAGCGAGACACTGTGGTCACCTGATTTGTGTAAACTCAACTTTGGAAA